TTCTCACCTACATCGTCCATATAGGACGACTCGGGAACTCAACTCCTACCCCGGGCAGCTCACCTATCCCCTTATGCCCAGGGGAAAGGTATCAGGCCGTTTGACAGCTGGTACTGGCTGTCAAAACGGCTTTTACGCGAAACAGGCGGGAGGCAGCAAACAGCTGCGACCGACGAAGTCGCCTGCCACCGGAAGCCCTTCAACTGTGCTTCATCTTGTTGGCACCTTCATGGTGGAGAAATTTATTACAAGACTAATCTGAAATTCCAACATGCTGTAAACATCAAGGTGCCTCAGTACATCTTCTTTGAAATCCTTTAGTTTCCCTTCCTCAGTGTCAGCTAATTCTTCAGAAGTCAAGCTCTTCCTCCTTGCTGCATTTCCTACCACTTGTGTGTATCATTTCCTTTATCATCCTTTTGTTCTATTCCTCTCACTAAACCCCTTTTCAGATTTGGAAATTCTTTAAGTCTCCAAAGTAATGCAAGTGGGTGGCTTGAGGAAAGATATAAGAAAGTACAGTGCTTGTTAAAATAGGGAGAAAGGCTCAAATATTTATTAAATAACTGAACATATGAGGCTGAAAGCAGATTTATGATATAACAAGCAATTGAAAAGCTGTGCATGTTAATCTGTAGAAGAGAAATGTTAAGAGGAAAGAAGGATAGCAGTTGTCTGTCTGGCATGTTGAGTTTTCCTCTTAGCGCCAAAGGCAAAGCTAGAAGCAGTAGACAGAAACTGAGTTTTCCTAAACATCTTCCTAATAGCAAAAACTGCTGAGCAGATTGTGTCATGAGGAATTAGGCTCTTCTTTGTCACCCTGCATTACATATCCTGCATTACATATCCTGCATTACATATCCTGCATTACATATCCTGCATTACATATCCGTAGCTGGCTGACCGGCCGTACTCAGCGAGTGGTCCTCAATGGAACCACATCTACATGGAGGGAAGTGTGTAGTGGGGTGCCCCAAGGCTCTGTTCTGGGCCCAGTGCTCTTCAACATCTTCATCAACGATTTGGACGAGGGGATAGATGGGGAAATCATCAAATTTGCAGACAACACCAAGCTGGCAGGAATAGCCAACACTCCAGAAGACAGGCTTAAGATACAGAAGGATCTGGACAGACTTGAACACTGGGCACTATCTAACAAAATGAAATTCAATGGTGAAAAAAGCAAGGTTCTACATTTAGGCAAGAAAAACCAAATGCACAAGTACAGCATAGGTGGCACCTTGCT